TTGTGAATATAAATAGTTTTTAAAATGAGGCTGCTAAGACTGGCATCTCAGAGGCTACCTGAAAAAGAGTCACGTTTATATATTCCAACAGCTGCACCAGTCACCAGTCCAGGCTTTCCACCACAAAATGGGCTGGGTAATTCTTGTGGAATGAGTATCAATACAGACTGGTCGTGGGGCAAAGAGGGGAGATGCGGATCAAAGTGGAGGGGACACAAAGGGCAGAGAAAAGGGACTTGATGCCCGACGGGGGAAAATCGAAGATGACAAAGGAATAGAAGAATAAAAAGGAATGAGGACGGGTTGACTCTGAATACATCCTCAATTGTACCAAAGTATAGGCGTGGCTTGAGGATGCTGTCTGTGCATTTAGCAACAATCCCAAACAGCCAGGGTGCCATTTCTTTGCAATAATTAAGGAGTATTCAGTGGAAACATAATAATGTCACTGCTGGTATTCAATTTAATTGATTTATCCACCCCCCCCCCATAAACACATGAGCTCATAGACTTCAAGGGGGCCTAGTCGAATGGAGGCACACACCGGAACTCCATCATGAAGGTCAAAGCTTCATGTGAGCAATGGAAAGTAAGCATAAGAAAGGACTTTCCGGGGGCACCCGGGTAGCTCAGTCAGTTAAGCGTTTGACTTCGGATCAGGTCATGATCTCACAGTTCATGAGTTCGAGCCCAGGGTCAGGCTCTATGCTGACAGCTCAGAGTCTGGAGCCTGCTTCAGATTCTGTGTCTTCCTCTCTCTCTGCCCCTCCCCTGACCATGCTCAGTCTCTCTCTTAAAAATGAAGAAACTATTTTTTTTTTAAAGGACTTCCTGGAGGGCGGGGGAGGGCACGTGGTGGCTTAGTTGGTTAAGTGTTTGAGTCTTGATCTCAGCTCAGGTCAGAATCTCAGGTTCATGAATTCGAGCCCTGTGCAGGCTCTGCACTGTCAGCTTGGGATTCTGCTTCTATCTCTCTCTTTGCCCCTCCCCTGCTCTATAAATAAATAAATAAATAAATAAATAAATAATAAATAAATAGGACTTTTTGATAGTGAGGAGTCGTAGATCCTGGAAGCAGTCAAAAGTGCTTGTTGGGACGCCTGGGTGGCTTAGTCGGTTAAGCGTCTGACTTTCGCTTAAGGTCATGATCTCGCGGTTTGTGGGTTCAAGCCCCGCGTCGGGCTCTGTGCTGACTGCCAGCTCAGAGCCTGGAGCCTGTTTCAGAGTCTATGACTCCCTCTCTCTCTGACCCTCCCCTGCTCACGCTGTCTCTCTCTCTCTCTCTCTCTCTTAGAAATAAATACAACATTAAAAAAAAAATTAAAAAAGAGCTCGTTGAGCTTCAGAGGTGTGGGCCTTCCTTCCTAAAGATGGAGACATAGGCTAGAATATACACTCCATGTCATTCAAATCGTTCAGATACAAAACACTCGACCAGGCAAGGCTACAGGATAGGTGGTCTGCTGGTTTGGAGACTGGTGGCCACTGGCTGGAGGAGGCATGAGGGGTTTGGAGGTCTTTCAAGGGTTTCGGGGTCCACAACAGGTCCTCTGTGGCTACTGTGGTTGAGCCTGTCGAGCGTGAGTAAAGAGATGAATGCGTGTGCGTGGGAACCACCAACAGGCAGTTGAGAATGTGGCACTGGAGCTGGGTCATCGCATCGGGGCACCCCATCGGGGCCTCAGAACGGGACTCCAGTCAGTCCGCTCCTCTTGGCACTTGCCAGTGGGAAGTCTACCACATGTGGGTCTTTTAGCCCATGGCTCCCCAGCCGTCCTGGTTTCTGGCTCCAAACCTAGTCATTCGTCCGCCATGCTGTCGCTGCTCCTCCTCCTCTTCCCCATTCACTGCAACCTGTCTGCCACCAAGCCCTTTAAGACTCTCCTCATCTATCCCTTATCTTCAAGTCCCTCCGGCCTATCCAAGGTTAAGCCATTTCTCCTCCGTAGGAGCTTCCCTCCTGGCCTCCCTCCTGCTCTCATTTCCTTCTACCTCCAGACCATTCTGATATCACCTCCAGATTGATCTTCTAATGTACTACTTGGATCATATCATTCCTCTGTCTAGGCAACAAAGCCCAGGACTGGGTATCCTGTCATTCAAGTCCCTCCACGGTCCTGCTGTCTCAGCCTTTCTGACCTAACTCTCCATGGCCCAAGCCGCCTTCCATGTTCCCCTTGTCACATGTCTGCTTGGTGTTTCCGCTTTCTGCCCTGCTTAGACTCCGTTCAGTTACCAGCTCTATTGCTCAGCCATCACCTGGCCCAAAACAGCATTTCCTTTCTCTGAAGGTACGTTCAATACACTCAGGGTCTCCACCATCCACATGGCTATTTATGGTTCATTACCTGTGGCAACTCCTCTGTTTTACATGACACTGAGCTTTAATTCAATGTCTCACCTCTTCTTTGTGTCTCCACTTCCTGATCAGGTTGAAAGCTCTTTGGTCTGCAAGCTCTGTTCAGGTCTCAACTTTCTTGTCCTAACCTAGTGTTCCGAACAGAGGAGGTGTTCACCAATTACTCACCAATTTAAGAGGGGAAGGCCTGAAGAACATTCTCTCCATGAATGTCTTGATCAGCAACCTGTTCTGGCAATTACAGAAAAGGACTGCTTCCTGGGGCAGCTGGGTGGCTCAGCCAGGTAAGCATCCATCTCTTGATTTCAGTTCAGGTCATGATCTCATTGTTCATGAGATCGAGCCCAGCATTGTGCTTTCTCTTTTTTTCTCTCTCTCTGCCCCTTCCATAATCACACACACACACCCTCTCTCTCTCAAAATAAATAAATAAACATTAAAAAAATTACAAGGAAGGGTGCCTGGATGGTTCAGTAGGTTAAGCATCCAACTTTGGCTCAGGTCATGATCTCACGGCTGTGTCCAGCTCTGTGCTGACAGCTCAGAGCCTGCACTCTGTCTCTCTCTCTCTCTCTCTCTCTCTCCCTCTCCCTCTCCCCCCTCTCTCCCTCTCTCTCTTTCTCTCTCTCAAAAATAAAGATTTTAAAAAACTTTTTTAAATTCAGAAGCTTCAGGACACCTGGGTGGCTCAGTCAGTTGAGCGACTCTTGGTTTCAGCTCACTTGGTTTGTGAGGTCAAGCCCCAGGTCAGGCTGTGTACTGACAGCGTGGAGCCTGCTTGGGATTCTCTCTCTTCTTCTCTCTCTGCCCCTTCCCTGCTCTCACTCTCAAAATAAGCAAACAAACTTTAAATACATAAATACATAAATAAAAGAAAAATTCAGAAGCTTCACTGGAAACACTTGCTGTGAGTCAAGGCACATCCCAGCAAAGAGATTCTGTAGAGGTCCCAGGTTCTAACCCCAAAATTATGAAGCTACCTTGGGCTCATGACTTAGTAACCCCCACAGTTGGGGTTGGAACAGGCTCTGGTCAAGTGGAGGGAAAGCACATCTGTGCTCCCATGGGTGCACACACCCACACCCCTGTATGCAGACTTGGAAGACATAATCATTCTCTGCAGAATTTTGAAACTTCATTCCCAAATAGCCCGTGGAATTGAATTTCTGATATCTGAGTGCATATATGGATATGCATTTTCCATTACTTGTTTAGGCAGACTATAAAACATCACAGTAGAGGAGTCGCCAATTTATGAACAGGTTGTGTGCTTCAAGTTCATTTGTTGGCTATTTGGAACTTAGAACACGTCTTTCCCTAGAAGCAAGAGGGTGCACAAGCCCACTTAACCCATGATGTACTGCACTATAATGCCACAAAGCAGTTTTATTCTATCCATCAGGGGTTTGCAAACTCAAATGCCTTCAGTGGACAATGCAAGTGAAGAGAGTCAGGTCAGGAAAACACAGAATGATAGAGACTGGGTTGTGCATGTCCCACCTGAAGGGAACAGCCACAGCTCCGGCGGATGGTTGTCACAGAAGAATGTATGCCCCACACAGCAGATAAGGAGATGCCAAGACCAAAAGTTTATATGAAAACAGCTGGCCACTGACTTGAAATTATTTTATAAACAGTGCACATGATACAAGACATTATGGGCGCCTAATGTGGGGGCACCTGGGTGGCTCAATCGGTTGTGCACTGACTCTTGATTCCCACTCAGGTCATGATTCCAGGGTCGTAGGATCAAGCCCCGTATTGTGCTCTACCCTGAGTGTGGAGTTTGCTTAAGATTCTCTCTCTCTCTCTCTCTCCCTGTCTCCCTCTGTCCCCCTCCTCCACTCATGTGTGCTCTCTCTCTCTCTCAAATAAAAATAAAAGTTATATATTTAAAAAAAAAAGACATCTGTGAGCTGAAACTGGCCCATACAACCTCCACTCAAAAATCTTGCTGCTTTGGGAAAAAATACATACATATTTTTTAATTTGTACAAGCCAACAACAGGAAAGTATTTCCCCTCTTCTGGTGAGGTGGGTGGTGGCTCCTCACGGCCAGTGTTCCTAGGTTAAGCCTCTCACATGAGAGAAGGCTAATGTCTTTGGGGATCTAAGAACCTACGGCTGACGCAGGGGCCCCTGACCCTCAATCTAAGCCCCCCACTGGGCTCCATCACTAAGTTTCTGATGTATCGAGGTCTGTGCAAGTTAGGACCATGTTTTGCTTTTACTGTGATGGTGGTTGTTAGTATTGCTCTATCATTTTGACTGTTTTCTTTTTCTGACTATCCATGTTATATAAGTTCACTCTAGAAAACTTGGAAGTTTTTCCTTCTAGAAGTAATCACTGTGAATAATGATTTCTTTTTTTTCAATCTTTTCACTTTCATTTTTTTTCACATTATACAAGCATAGTGGATTGAATGATGCTCTCTGCCTTTCCCTTCAAAATAATATGTCCACATCCTAATCTCTGGAACTGGTGAATGTGACCCCCTTTGGAAAAATGATCTTGAGATGAGTTCATTTGGGGCAGGTGGCTTCTAAATCTAATGACAAACATCCTTATGAGAGACACACAGAGGAGACACACAGAGGAGGAGGAAGCAATGAGACTGTGGAGGCAGAGACTGGAGTGACGGTGGCCACAAGTCAAGGAATGCCAATAGCCACCAGCAGCTGGAAGGATTCTCCCAAGAGCCTTCAGAGGGAGTATGGTCTTGACAGATTTCAGAGTGCTGGCCTCCAAGACTACATTTCTGTTTTGCCAAGTGTGCGGTAATTTGTTAAGACAGCCCTAGGAAACGAATACAACAAGTAATACATGAATAAATGGATGTAATTAATTCAGACAATGCAGGATTATGTAAAGCGAAAAGGGTGATAGTCCCCTACACGCCACACAAATCCCTCTGTATTCCCTGTGAATAGTGGCTCTTTGGTAACAACCTTTCTAGGCTTTTTTCTATGCACTTAACACACACACATACACACACGCACACACACATATACACAAACATATTTATATATTTTTGTGTCTTTTAAAATAAACGAGATCGTCATATTCAGCTACTCACTCTTTTGTAAATTCAGTATTTCTTGGGGATATTTGCATGTCTGTACAGAAAGATCTGACTTATCCTTCTCATTGACTGCAATATATTCTCTGATCATAGCCTACATCTTTGTTTTCACTGATTCTAAACTTACTGATGTAACCATATTACAATGATGAATCAAAGTTGACTCTCTTCACTTGGCTAAAATAGAAATTATCTGCCTTCCCCCCCACCCCTTGCAACTTACAGCCTCCACATTAAAATGTGTCTGTCTGGGGGTGCCTGGATGGCTTAGTCGGTTAAGCGTCTGACTTTCGCTTAGGTCATGATCTCATGGTTCATGGGTTCGAGCCCCGCATCGGGCTCTGTGCTGACTGCCACCTCAGGGCCTGGAGCCTGTTTCAGAGTCTGTGTCTCCCTCTCTCTCTGACCCTTCCCTGCTCACGCTGTCTCTCTCTCTCCTAGAAATAAATAAAACATTAAAAAAATATACAAAATGTGTCTGTCTGTCTGTCATGAGCTCCATTCTGGCTCTCTATATTTTGCCATTAGAACTCACCAAGTGACTTGCTTTGGCTAGTGATGTGTTAGCAGAAGTCACTTGAATCATTTCCAGCCAGAGGCTTCAAGGGCCAAGGGCTTACAGAAGCCCTACAAGGAGCCTCCTTCAGCCTGGGTCTCTTGGTGAGGGTGTGAACAAAAAATAAACCTCTGTCATTTTAAACCACTGAGATTTGAGGGCTATTTGTTGCTGCAGCAGAACCCAGACAATCATAACTGATTTTACATAGATGTGATATACATACCGTATGTGTGATGTACCTATCCTACACATTTGTATATGTATCCTATGCTAAAATGGAGGAAAGCTTAAAGCCAGAAGCTTGAAAGAAGAAAGTGTGGTTTATTACAGCCTGCTCAGTAGTAATTAACAATATGACTAATAATACACTTCTACTTCCTATTTAGTTATTTATCCTTTTTATATTTTCACTAAGATGGTGAATTTAATGCCAGTGGAAATGAAACATCATGTTTCCAATATCACGAATATCATACTAGCCATAAATTAACAACTCTGTTTGGTGGATATGTGGGTCCATGGCCTTGCTTTTAGGTCTATAAATGCCACTACGCCCTGCATCTACTAACAGGGCATTGGGTTTCAGGTTATTTTCTATGGTTTCATGTACATTTGAAATAACAGTGCTCTGTGGGCTCAAAGAACAGCCCTTCTCTCTTGCCTCTGGATAGGGGGATTGGCAGGTGCTGCCTCGCTTCAGGGAGGGAGGAAGTGCTTTTCTCTGATCAACAGTGATGTCTCAAGCTGATTAAAGAACATTGTTTGTAGAACTGGAAAAGGATCAAAACGCCTTCAGTTCTCCAAGCCAGAAAAGATAAGGCCTTGAAGGCTAAAATGGTAAGCATAACAAGAGCCTTATAGTTTCAATGAAAGATATTGAAGATTCAAGCCTTTTCTCTCTTGGGCAGAAGAATATTTTTTAATGATATCTTTTAAAACGTCAGATTTATTTAACAGGAAAGAAAGAAAGAAACAAAGGAAGGAAGGAAGGAAGGAAGGAAGGAAGGAAGGAAGGAAGGAAGGAAGGAAGGAAGAAAACCCTCTTGCTTTATTCCACCCAAACACTGAAATCAGAGAAGCTTCCTTAATCATGGCTCTGACCTCATCACAATTCTGTGAGGAAGAAGGCAGCAAATACCAGCAGCCACTCTCCCAGGTTTGATGATGGCAGCTAGCTCCACAATGGATGACACCCATGATGATGACATTTTACATCTAAAATCTAAATCTTAAAAAAATGCCAGAGCCTCCTATCACCTATCACAGTGGGGTTTAAAGAGAGGACCCTAATCTGGGGGAGACAATATCACTCCTCTTAGGTAGGAACTCAGGGGGAAATAAAAGATGGCTCTTACCCACATGACACCCCCCCACCCCCACCACCAGACACACCACCTTCTCCAAGCTGACCCTGTGTTAGCAGAAGGGGCTGGACTCCATGCAGTGATTCCTGAGGGGATTCTGGGCCCACTATAAATAGGAGCTACTTAAGATTAATAGGATGTGGGTTTGTATTGGTAGAGTTTTTTCCTCCTTAGCCTGAATTAACCAAGGCAGCAGTGCATTGTCTATATCACTCAATAAGTTTTGTATAGCCTCTGGATTACTGTCTTTGTTCTCTTATTTTTTAGGAACATCATCTATGCTGCTCTCAGATACTTACATAGTTTTAAATATAATTTATTGAGTTCAAAGATTCATTATAAATCATTATGATAAAGCTAGGGTCTGACTGTTTGTGTCCTTCCAAAACGCATATGCTGAAATCCTGATCCCCAAAGGCGAGATGATACTGGTGGGTGGGATCCTTGGGAGATGCTTAAACCATGAAGGTAGACCCTTCATGAACGGGATTAATGTCTTATAAAAGAGACTCCAGAGAGTTCCCTAGCCCCTTCTGCCCTATTAGGATACAAGGAGAAGTTTGCAATCCAGAAGAGGGGCCTCATGGGACCCTCCTGGCTCCCTGATCTCAGCCTCCAGAACTATGAGAAATAAATTCCTATTGCTTCTAAGCTACTCAGTCTGTAGTATTTTGCTAGATAACAGCCTGAATGGACTACAACAGGCAGGCAGGACTCCAAGATGGCTCCCACAATTCCTGAGCCCTGGTGTACTCGCACCTTCTCCAGGTTATTCTAACACTAATCTAAATGCTGCTGTGAAGGGGTTGTGCAGAGGCCATTAAGTTCCTGAATTAACTGACCTTAAAATAAAAGACTATCCTCAGGTTGGGCCTGACAGAATCAGATGAGCCCTAAAAGGAACTGCTTTCTTCTGGTGAGAAGATTCCAAGTGTGAGAGGGCATATGGAGGGACCACATGGCAAGGAACTGCGCGGGCCTCTGGATGCTGAGAGCAGTCTCTGCCTAACAGCCGGCAAGAGAGTAGGGCCTCACCCGCCAAATGCAAGCATCTGAAGTCTGCCAGTAACCATGTGAGCTGGAAAGAAGACCCCGGCTCCAGAAAGAAATCAGCCCAGTTGGCACCTTCTTGTCAGTCTGGAGAGACCCTGAGCAGAGAACCTAATTCAGCTATGCCTAGACTCCTGACCTGTAGAGACTGTGAGACAATAAATGAGTGGTGTTTTTTTTCTCAGTTGCAGAGTTTGTGGTAATTTGTTAGGTGGCAATAGAAATCGATTACAAGCAGACGGAGCGAGCTTGCTCTGACCCAAAACGTAAAGGAAATTAAGTATAAATGTAACTTTAAATTTTAGCCCTCATCCTTCTTCCTTTAGAACCAGATGTGAACATGTAGCTCCATATGCCTTTTCCTTATTAAATAATAAAGGTTAAATTGAACTTTATGTATATAAATATACTTTATGTATATTTATCCCCAACCTGAAAGGTTTCCTGGAGGTTAGGGTCATTGCTAAGTACTTCTTATTCTCATCTCCAGTTTTTCACAATGTTTCTACTGCAATTAGGAAGGCTTTAGGGGCGCCTAGGTGGTTCAGTCAGTTAAGCAGCCAACTCTTGATTTTGGCTCAGGTTGTGACCTCACAGTCCGTGGGTTCAAGCCACGTGTCAGGCTCCATAAATGACAGTGTAGTGCCTGCTTGGGATTCTCTCTCTCCCTCTCTCTCTCTCTCAAAATAAATAAATAAATAAATAGGCTTTAGAATTCATAGTCCATCCTTGTAAAACAGAAAATGGAATCCACTTTCCCAAACTTACACATATGCAGTAACAAAATAGTGAAAGAACAGGAAAATTCCTTGTAACATTCATCCAATGAAATAACCATATACCATGACTGGTATTCTACTAGTAATAATAATCCTACAAGAAGGATGAAAATTTAATTTCATCAAATAACATCAATACAAAACAAAAATAAATGACAAATAGTAATGTTTGTATTTTTGAATTAGAAATGGCTACCCATATAACTGAATTTTTTTCTAGTCTGCTTCAAGACATAATGGATTTTATTTTTCTTTTCTGTATTAATCAATGAAGCTTAGTTTGTAATTAATTTTGGAGCATCCAGACCTTTGAGTTCCTTGGATAAAGGTATTAATACTAAGGTTTCTTGTTTTATGTGTTTTTCTGTCTGTCTCGAATAATAGGATGCATTTTAATGGTTGTATATAAAAGGCCAAATTTGAATGACTCAGATAACAGCACAGAAGGGACTTCAGCTAAAGCCCCCTCCACTTCTGCCCCCTCAAAAAAAAAAAAAAAAAAAAAAAATCAATGAAACAGCGCCCCTTAGTGGCAGAAGAGCAAAATTGTCAGTGGGTTAACAGTACAGTAAAAATCTTGCTGAGATATAAACTGCTAAGTACAAAATAATTTTCTCTTTAAAAAATTAGAGTTAAAAAGATTTGAGTTAAACAGGACACTTTCGAGCAATCATTGCAAAGTGGATTATGCGGAGTCATAGGGTGTTTTGAAAGCCAAAAGGGAGCCATTGTATCTGCTGGGAAAAGTGAAAATCAAAGATTAACAGCCTTTAACATATAGGGAATTAAATTATCCCGAATACAAGCAGGAAAGTTACCTCAGCAGCCGTTTGTCTTCTAACAACTCTTCCACTGAGGTGGAACACAAATGAAAGTAAGCTGATTCTTCAGATAAATGGGATAATTTTGGATATTTACACGACCCTTTAGAATCATCAACTCATTAATACCAATCCCCAGAA